CGCGCGTATTAAGTGTGTTGCAACTAAGTCTCACGGATCGTACAACCGAATTTTGTCGGTTAATTTGTTGTGCGTGAAATAGTTCTGAGCCACACTCATTCGGCCTAGTAGAAGAGTTGATAGCAGATCGTCAGAAGGTGGCGTAAGCAAGTGGTAGTTATGATATATATATATATATATATATATATCATCTTGCTGCATCTTTGGAATACGGGCGAAGTAAACTCGGAAAATGTCGGAATACATTAGGTGGTTGGGCGACAGTGTTTAATTTAGCCTTAGTTAGTTGAGAAGCTGGGAATGGCAAGCTAAATACATAGTATGCAGGATGCAGTCCTAAGTTTACCTATCTGCGATTCGTCCTTTTTCAGTCCAAACTATTTTCGGTTACTTGGTGATACTAGGGCAATGTGCTGTACTATTCATAAGAACAGGATAAATTTGTTGACGTACATAACCGCTTCAACCCAAACACCCAGTTACCCAGGGGTGTCTGATGTACAACGTAATGTACAACTAGCTAACACGTTACCTTTCCACAGTTTTCACCATGAGCAACCGGAGAAGTTTTTACAACATGAAAGGAATCCCATCCAGGAGGATTTTTGACTAATCAGAGTAAGCAGGATAATCCCAGTGCGTGAGCCAAAACAGAATAAGTCTCGTATACATCCACTGGATTTGTGTTCCTTCATGTTTGAGGAACGGTGCAAATGGAAAAGAATAAGTACATCCAAAGCATTCCTAAAGTACCGCCCTAGTGGTAGCATTTGATTTGTTTTAAGTTATCATACTTTTACAACCCCATGAAATATGGAGTTGCATCTATCTTACTAATTGGCTCACAACAATGATTATAAATAGGGCGTTGTTTACCCGGTAGTTAGAAAATGGACTATATTTTCAAAACGATTATCCAGTAACCAGGTTGAAGAACGGCTTCTTTATACATACCAACAGTAAAATAATACCTAATGGAACAAAGCAGCAATGTACATCGCTGTGATTAATTAATGGTAGATAATTGTCAAGTAAAGTGGTCAGACGACGTATCAGTCCCGCAACGAAGTATGGATTTGACAAGAAATACTGAAAAACCGAAGCAGAAAGACTGTCTTAAGTAAGTGCACGTAATGGTAATTCTCCTAACCGCATGTATGTGATAGATGGATTAAAGCGTAACGGAGTGCCAAAGGGATTCAGATTTTATGTGGCTAGATTTCTAATGCCAGCTGGATTATTCGTATGCACCTATGAGATGGACATTTTGATTATTTGCAAATACTGAAGAAAAATTAGTGCCCTATAGTAAAAATCTCATAAGTCACAGACTACCACCAAACCAACAACGTGAAGTCAGCTATAATTTAGTACTTGTCCAACCACATGTTTGCTGACAAACAATTCCTTAGTTCGTAGGTACTTTCCATGAAGCTAATAATACACAGCTGTGTGATGACAATATTTTCCGACAAATCTCGCCAGGTCCTTACAGCTATAATTTAAAGTGATAAAACGCATTGCCTAATGGAAGCTATGTCCAAGTCGAAGCTACGACGAAATCTGTACAATCAACTGGCTTAGGGTGTCACGTCGTCGATCAATCAGCTAGTCGGCTAGGCTATGTTGCACGGACGAAAATCCCAGATAGTTGACGGAGGACAGAGCAATGATTACCAACACTGATCGACTACCATGAACACTGACGCGCTTTTACAGCCAAAATGTATCAGGGAATGTGCTAGCATCTGTAAGTAACGAGGCTCGGAAGTGGATTCCTTATCAATCTGGCTGCGCTAATGGATTCACACTAGCGACAGATGGACAAAACCTTCATTGTTCGTAACGCTTCCATCAACAGCGCCAGATTGCTAGACAGTTTTGTCTGGGTCCATCCGTCAATGAAATTCGTTAGAGAAATTATACATGACGGTAAACTGGACCAGTCGAAAAAGTGTTTTCTGCAGTGGGACATGGATAGGCCAAAATACGATGGTAGAGGAATAAATTCCCGGATGCACAAGTTTTAGTTTTCACAAAAAGCAAACATTATATATTCGCAAAGTACTCTCCACCAGCATTTATGCAAAGTTTCTTGCGCGCAAACCACTTGGAAAAGTACCTAGACCATGACAAAGTGCGTAACGCTTAAAGCAGCTCAATAAACGCCTCTGTTGTAGCTTTCGGAGACTCGTAGCGGATTTCACGCATCATGCGCTTGACAATTTGGAAAACAAAATGTCACACGGAGCCAAGTCTGGACTGTAGGGTGGGTGACCAACCTCCTGGATGCATTCTCTAGCCAGAAAATCTCCGACGACATGGGACGTGTGTACATGGGCATTGTCAGGGTGCAACAAGGTCTCTGATGCTCTAGTCATTAGATGACGTCTGTCTACAGCTTCCAGCACTTGTGATAGACAGTGCGTGGCATACCAATCTCCGGTGACTGTGCGTTGCCGTACGAGTGAACAGTAACCATACAACCGGTCTTGGCCAAAAACACAACCGCCATCTGCTTGACAAAACTGCGCTCATGTTGGAAGTGTTGAGGCGGCGCCCCACCAACGACCCTTTTCTGAATCGATTGTTACTTGGTCTCTGAGTCGAAACTGTAGCCGCAGGTCTCCTCACCACTGAAGATCTCCCAAACAGCACTGGAACGTCCACCATCAAACCTGGTAAGCAAGTTGTGGCACCAATTCACCCGAGCTGTTTGCTGGTCCCCACTGAGCCGATGGGGGTACCTAGCGTGCGCAAACCTTTCCAAGGCCATTTTTCTCATCTAAGATGGTGCGGATTGATCCCAATGAGATTCGCATGGCTTCCTCCAGCTGTACAACAGTCACCCGCGTCTCCTCTTCCAGCATCGCTTGCACAGCAACGATCTTGTCCGCGGTGGTGACCTCCACAGGTAGACCACACCGTGCCTCATCATCCAGGGACCGCCTGCTACGCATGAATTCCGCACATCACCCAAACACGATGGTTCTTGACGCGCATCATCGCCAAACGCAGTACGCAATCGATCAACACTCTGGTTCTGCTTTAAACCACATTTGTAATCATAGCAAATTATCGCCCTCCAGTGACATCACGTGAGTTTCATGATTACATTCAGAGTATAGCGACACTTATGATTTGTAAGCTGTGCTGAGCTGCTGATATAGGGTTATGTGAATTGAAATCACTAAACAATATTCAGGATGGGTTATAGTTTACATATTTCTCGCGATCATCTACACCTAATCATGGTACTGCACATCTTGAAACTTATTGCTCTGCCTTCGTATTGTCCTCCTCAGCTTTGTACCCTTGAAACACGAAAGAAATCTAGTCCACTGCATCATTTTACTGCGCTAGAGAAAGTGGAATCCTTGGGACGCATATTATTGGGACTAAACTCGTCATTAGTACTTTGCGAGAATGCGCACATCCCATACCCTTCATTAGGCGCCATTCCATATCACTCCGTTCCATCATCTATATCACTACAATAAAATCTACTTCCTTACACATCACTTCAGGAGGAACATTGTCTAAACTTGCCCGCCGATTTCTCGTGGTCGAATAACATACTATCAGTTTGGCCCGAATTTTTCTTCTGGTATGAATGAACTTGCACCTGTGGTACAGGGCACCACAACTAGGTCAATGAGCCCTGTCCGGCATAGCTAGGTGTGAACACAATAAGGAAGAGTAAAAGCTTTATTATTCAATAGTTGGCTGAAACAAGACAACAGGTTCAAGCGAATAACCTTTCGAATTCAGGTACGGAATTCCAAAGCGCTAAAACCTTTAAGAAGCCTCTTCTAACCATGCTTTATGCCATCGCAAGCAGAGTTCTGAAAACAGAAATGTGCAAACAGCGGGCGCAAACCACGTGCTCTTATCTCGGCCACAAACACGTTCCGGTGGGATCTGTTTATGTTAAACACGATTGTCTATCGGTGTTTCTCACTGCTGCTCTGTCCACCGTCATCTGACTGTCGATTTCGTCCGTGAAACATAGTCCGGCGGACTGAGAATTTGGTCGAAGACATGGCATCCACAGTCAGCGAGTGGTTGCTTGCGCTTAGGCATAGCGTTCATTAGACAATCTGGGTTCCCATTTTAAAATATACCTGTAAGGGCTTAATGAGATTTCTCGGAAAAATATAAGCGTTATGCTTTTGCAGACTTCAAATCTTGCACAACTTGAACTGGAATAACCATGTGACATTGCGTAATGGGCTTCATCTCTGTTTACTATAATATCAACGGAACATGCGGCGATACCAATGTGCTAGAGTTGCGGGGAAAGAACTTAGGCTTGGGTGGTATAAGGAGCGTAAAATCAGAGCCGATAAAAGGTACTGTCGTTATTTTTCCGTACGGGTGCATCTTCCTCACAGGCGGAAGCCCGAGTTATAAAGTGATTGCCCTAGAGTAGCTAATGAAAAATATAGTTCCAGCCTGGCTAGAATTTCGAATTCGGCAAGGAACCCAAAAGGTAGCCAAAACGCACCGATGCAAATCTACCAACTGAGACCGCTCACAATAGGATTTTGTTAACTTGTATCCAAAGACAGTGAATTATACTGGGTGCCCAATTTGCTTATTTGAAAAAGTAGCGTTCGGTAACCCTATTTTGAACAGTACAATGGGAACTTCATTGCTCGTGATATGCAGATGGAGAATACGTCTAGTATTCAACTGATCGAAGAGCGGAATATCATATGCTACAATGTGACGACCTATGTGTATGTGTAATAATTCTGAATACCGGTAGCTCGGGTTGGCGATTGAAGTCTATATTGATTCTGCGAGCTGAGCAATCGAATTGTAGATGTTTAGCCACCAACCGAGTTGGCATCATCAGCGTGTGATAGCAAGTAACTTATTAGCAGGTACAGAGCGTCGAGTAACTCCAGGATTTGGATAAGCTTAATTAGTTAATAGACCATTAATTTCGTGAGGTAACTATGAGGAATTCGAAAAGGGGTAATCGCTCAGCTTACCTTGGCCAAATCTGCTTCTTCCAACATCTTCACCGTCAAGCTGTAGGCAGTTGGATTTTTTAGGACTAATTTCTTGTCTTTAGAGACTCTTGTGTCCAGGCCACCCCGTACGGAGTTCATCAAGTGCCTCAGTTCAATGTGATTTTGAATTATCAGCTTGTTAAGTCTGCAATGCCTCCGTGTCCTGGATAAAACACGATAGTGATGGTAATGAATTCGACTATGTAGTATTTGCTTGGCCAGTTCTAGTATGCCTTTTGGGAACACTGTCTCCTTGTCATCCACAAGCGATTCGATTTGTAATGCTGCCCATTGCTGTCTTAAGTGTTTCTCTAACGCTTCCATTCGTAGCAGATTAACCTGTCAATGGATAGCAAAGACAGGAATACTAAGAATTTCCTACAAAATGGTAGTTTAAAATTAGAAAAAGAAAGCTGAAACCTAGTTACATCGTAAGGAAATGGGCCTCCATAATCTTAACAATAATCTTGCGAAAAAATACGGGCAATACAGATGGCGGAAAGTGAAATTCACAAATTCGTGCATGTTACAACGTTAAAAGATTACGCGGTGCAGTATAAAGCGACTAAAGAGTCTATCAAAGGCACACTCTAATAGTTTAATTCGAGTAAACGTAATCAAGCGGAATCTAGGCGGTTTCACCGAATACGTCCTGTTGCCACATACATTTGATTTTGTAGCGTAAATGGAAGCAACATAGTATTTGATTAGACTTTGCTGATCATTGACAATGTTAGTTTGTAAAATACGAAGGCATATTGCGGAGAGTAACATATAGTAGCGCAAGCTTAAGGTATTTCCCTCCAATGATAGTGTTAGTTCAGGAGGCAGGCGTCGTGTCCTACCTTATCAGGAGCAGCTATAACACTATGCTTGGGTGGCTTATTTCAGTGATAAACACCTATAGTCAGGTGTTGTAATAGGTTTTGGACCTTTAAGGTAGCTGAGCATCCTCTCCGTTTGGATGTCCAAAAGGTAAACAATATGTATAGTCACAGTGGACGAGGAGATATTAGACATATACATGATGTGTGCAGTTATGCCTGGTCTATTGATTACTAGTAGTGTAAGCTAGCCAGAAAATTTGCCAAAAGTTTTTCTGTTGTAAATTCCCAACTCTACAGCAAGACGTCACCGAAAAACAGGCCTCAACTTTCATTTGCAAGGACTGCCTGGCGTTTAAAAATCGCGATACGCACAAATCACACATGAATGTTTGCATGCTAAGACTCAAAAGCCCAAAAAACTGACGGACGATGTTGGCCGTCAAAGAATTATTCGCGAATACTAGTCTGAGGTAGAGCCAATGAATAGCTTTAAACGATGCGAACGGTACTGTGACTTGAAGGCAGCAAAAAATTCATGCGAAGATCAAGTTGAAGGGGGATAGGTATCTTCATAGAAGTATATTCAATAGTGTTAAAAAGTTTTCATAATCAATCCATGTCATTCTAAACCATTTCTAATTAATAAGACAACTACAAATATCTTCCAAGCAATTCATCCTAAGTGAGTCACTAATAGTAAACTGTATTGTATGTCCTGAGCGGAGGGTAGAGTGGGAACCGCCTAGCCATGTCTTCGTACAGAAATTTGTGAGAACCACCAGAATGCATGACGGTATCCAACTTAAGTGGGTAAAAAAGCACGGGGTTTTTGTTAGTAGAACGGTCCCTGCCTTTCCGGAAATCCAAGCATTGGAACACTTGATGTAGTCTCCAAGTATGAGAACTGAAAATCATCATAAGTAGGGCTTGAAAAAGTCAGTTTGCCTTGTTAACTCGGTAGTAAAGAAGCCACTATTATCTTGGGACAGTTTTACTCGTAATACGTGACAACACCTCGGCGACGTCATATTGAGAGACGTTCCAAGAAGTTATATTGTGGTGGTATAATGTAAGTTTCATATATTTAAACAGAATACAGAGGTGCAGGTAAAACGCTGGTGATCTGATAGCGCAGTACCAAATTAAAATTGATCAAAGTAGAAGAATTTAGAAACTAACAGTCGGTGATTATGTATATGCCATGTCTGAGCACAAGGGATTCCAGTCATCAGCCCCAAGTGACTGACCACCAAACACTCAAAAAAGCATTGAGCGTAATATGATTAAGGCTACCACTGTGTAGACATAGTTCCGACTCAGGCGAGGGATGGTAAAAACAGCTGATTGGTAGTTATCCCCTGACCACACATTGAGCAGCATGTGTGGATGCGTTTTCGTGCTCCAACTAAGAACATACTGAGCATATAGCAGCTTTTTGATACACTATGTTGGCTTTACAATGTACTGAAAATAGGAAAAAGGCGTTTCCTTGTGCGGTTGTCTTGCGTGCTGCCCAACACTAAAACATACTCTAGAAGATCTCCCCAAGCACTGAGACATGGTTGATTTATGTCACTCGGCTTGTTCGTGAGGATAAAATAGCATACCACCCGCAGTTGGTAGTGCGCATGGTCTTACATCACAATCTGCTGTATCAATAGGTAAACAATCGACATAACGAAAAACAAATAATTCCTCCTCTTCACCTAGTAAACGGGCTGACACCGACCTCGAAGAATGCAGTGAACACCCTGTGGTTCTGCGATATGTTCTAACCTTTCAATGAGGTCAGTGGCCATCTAACGCTATTGCAAGGGTTGTGTCACTCCAAAACTCACTCACATATCGGCAGACAGTGTACTAAAGAAGTTGCTGAACATGGGTAAGCACAACTCTCCTGGAGTTGTTAACATTCACTGAAAGTCACTTGCGTCAGTAGGAGAGAGCTTAGCTGACCTAGTGGCTCGATTATCCCAAAACTGTTTTGATGAAATGTACGTGCCAAATACGTGGAAACATAAGTTGGTTATTCCAATACACAAGTGAGATAGTATTTCCGATTCAGCCAACTACTGTCCCGTAATCATACTATGAGTATAGTAAAAGATAATGGAAGCCATTAGTGTTGAAGCGGTAGCGGCCTACTTGGAATAATTTGCCTACCGTTCACCAGAACCGCATGACTCCCGACGAATTCCGTCGTGCTCTGTAAACCTAATGCTAGCACGATCCAGCTGGACCGAAGCAGTAGACATTGGAATAGAAGTTGATGTAAATTTACTCGACTCCTCAAAGACATTCGAGTGGGTAGACAATGGAATTCTGCTCTCCAAGCTGCGGACCTTTAGTATTGGTTATTCTATCCTAGGGTGGATCGAAAGCTTTCTCATATACTGGCGATTGGAGGTTCGGGTGCATGAATCGCTATCAAGTAACATCCAAGTTAAACGTAGAATACCACAGGCATCAGTTCTTGGACCACGAGTATTTTTGACGTACAGCAACGACACTACAGTTTCAGAAGCGTGCACTATCTGCTCTATGCCGGTGACATCAAGGTGTGGGGGTGTTCAATACACCAGCTGATATCACACTACTTCAGGCTAATCTGCAGAGGGTTTTCGTTTAGTCAACGCAGCATCTACATTTGTCTAATGTGAACAAATCTAGAGGGGTGCACTTACGGCGCCAGCTTACCTACTCCTACAAACTCAGTAACCAAGAGCTTCAAACGTCTTTCGCCGGAAAAGATCTAGGCCTTTTGGTTCAGGCCAACTTTGGATGTGCTAATCGGGCTGAAAAGGCCTCAAGGATAGGCATCCAACACCTAGGCCTCCTAAGGCATGCATTCGGATGATTCGACTTGTCGATTTTTTAACAGCTTCTTGGCTCCTTCATACGGTCAAATGTGGTATACACAATACAGTTCTGGCAGCTATGGTCCAGGAGAGATCTCACCACCTTGGAGGTGCCCTAACGCTGGACAAGCAAGAATGCCATAAGTTTGTATCATTTGTCGTATGAACAACAGCTTCGAGTGCTTGGAGTCTTCAGTTGACAATAGCGGTGGTTGCGTAGGGGCCTTTTATTGTCTTACCGGATTTTGATAGATCCCAACCGCACGTGCCTTCATCTACTAGAGCTCAGTAGCAACAGTAAGCTAAGAGGCCACCATCTCAAACTGGCAGAGCAGTACAGTTGTTTGGAATGCCATGGGAATTGCTTTTCCGCACACTTTTGACAAGTGTGGAATGTCCTACCGGAATCTGTCATCTGTGCTCCCACGCTCGCAAAGTCCAGAGCTGGAGTTGACGGTGAACTCATTTCTCTGCACCGTACCACATGACTCTCTGCCCATAGCTAAGCACTAGCATATGCTAGCGATTTCATTGACGGTCTATTTAAAGAACACATTCCACCTTTTTCACCTCCTGTATGTGTTCAGCAGTAGGTGACACGATTTTTACCAACCTAGTTAGAGTCATTCCTTATCGGCTTACAGTGAATTTACAGTTTTCGTGACTTAAACCTCGATGAGTCCACCGGTGGGAAACACTTATGCGGACCATTTTTTCTATATTTTGCGATATACACCATGACTATCCCGTGGGATCGGTTACGCTTTAGCTTTTCACCACCAAAAAAACATTGTTCCATTGTTCAATTGTTCTACTAACACCTTTGTCGCAGTCGTCTCAAAAAGCTAAGAGTATAATGCAAGCAGTTCGGTACTAAAGAGAACGATTAGCAATCGAAACGATTTTCAAGGTGCTTCAAATGCCGCTGTGCCCTTTGAATCCGAATTAACGTGTACATCGTAACGAAAAAGGGAAACGGAGACGGACCCATTGCATTACTTTGCAGTTTACCGGACATGGAATGACAATAAGAAGGCAACCGTGCACCATGTTCATAACTTGTTCGCTTTCTGCTAACCGGATCACCTGTAACAATACAAACGGTAGTTTTGTTCCTTCCAACTATTAGACAGAAGACACACCGTACCCCAGTTATCAAAGGGAACATGGTGCCAGTAACGAAATGTTTAGGAAACTTGGACAACACGTAGCTCACTGGTAATTATTTCTTTTAGGTAGCTGACATTTAAAGTTTAAGTTTCTCATAAATCCTCTTTTCGCAATCAGTTTGGCATAACTGACAAGCTTACTAGTCATGACAATGGGAATAAAGCATCGGGTGCGTGACTGAATACACGAGTGAAAACACGATGTATCAGTCTCCTTGTCGGTTTGTAATTTTACTTGATGCGATCTTGCAGTATATGTGCAGCGATAGTGCAAATTTCTGAAACTGCGTCTATTTGGATGCATAAATCTTTGCTGGCTTTGCTAATTTTTTATTTGTACGCTAGTACGAACATTAGAAAAGAAAATAGGTCCAATTCGAGACAAACCTCAAGTTTTGCCATACTCCAGCGTCCCGATTCTGGCTGTTGAAGAAGTTCGTCTACAATTTTCCGTCCTTGGTACAGTGTGTCCATCCAGCACAGAAGCATTAACAGTTGCTCTTGCACAAACGGTCGTTCGAGTTCTGAGTTGTACTCGGTGTTAAGTTGGTTGGGGCCATTACCGCGTATACAAGTCTAATAAATAAATAATTGAATAAACAGTATATTTCTCGACCATGTGAGAAGTTGATTCCAAGCAGGGTCACATCCAAAGTATTATTCATGTCTCGCATAACGAATGTATATGCACAAGTACGGAGAGTACGGGGAAAGCCCTGATGTCGGAAGCAGGGAATTATGAAAATATACTTGAATTTTTCCAGGATAAAATAACTTGTTTTGTTTGCTTACGCACAACCGATTATTGTGGAGGTTTCAAATGCTTTCGTTCCTTCCGTTAAGTTTGTAGATGGTATCAGTAGCACATTTTGTAAAGGATTTGACTGAAGTCAGTCGAAAAAGAAAACGTTATGTGCCATCAGTACATCAATTTGTCAGTATCGAAACGTTAATAAATACCTCGTAAAATTTATAGCCCTACTCGGTTGGCTCTTCTGGCAGTTCGGGAATTATCATCGTCATGGATCGACCTCAGTCTCACACTAAGAACAAACGCTACACCCAGAATTACCGCATGCGGCATTACTTTGCATGAAACCGAGTAATATTGGATAACTGGGCAGTGGAGAAGATGGTGAGTATAGAGTGTGAGATGAACATGTGAACAAGGGTTTAGGCATGTGCCAATTCCTGTAGTATACTGTTGTTCAAGTAAGCCTTAACACCTGAAGTAAATGTAAAAGGGTTCCGCTTGTTTACCCATCCTGCATGCCGTGGCGAAGTGGTAACTTGCAGGTAAATATGACAAAGAAAGTGCAGAGAAATAGCGTAGCTGAGGTTGGAGATACAGATCGGTTGGCGTCCCCTTTTTAACTTCCAAGTAGTCATGAAAGCCCCAAGTAAAGCATGAGTGAGGAAAGGCAGAAGGTAATAGAAAGACGCCTTTGGGCGCAAATATGACTCAGAGAAATGGTAAACAGCCAAGCACTATTTGGTGGGTCATTATGAGGTGCTTGATCACTGGGAAACACCCAATATTCGTCTGATGTAACAGTGATGATCCCAGTGACGGAACTTCCCAAGATAATCTTCAATGGGAATCGCAGTCCACGCTGAGATTACGCGTCACAATTCGGCCACACAAAGAGTGTTTCAACGGGAGACCTTCAATCAGTACAGTTCACAATGTTATCACTACCATGGGATGTGTGTAAAAACGAGGCAGTAATGTAAGGTAACCGTAGAGAGAAAATAAGATCGTGGGTACTGTTGTATCATGTGGTTGAATGGATATGAAATGCCCAGCCATTTACATCTATTTCAGTGAGAAATTGGCGGTACTTTGAGGGTCCAGCAATTACAGAGAAATTCATGCTTGGAATATTAAAATCTTCGCAAATAGTCTATACTAACTACTGAAATTAATTAAACTGCGAATCACAGCGGTAGCAGCCAAAGAGCAGCTGCAGTGTGTCGGCCGAAACGGTTGGCCATACAGAATGCTCAACGGCGCAAAGTGGAGAAACATGCAGGGAGAAGGCGTCCTATGGAATGTGGACGTAGATAGCACATTCGCTTCTTCGTCTATTGTAACGGTCCCTTCTGCTCGTTTAATAACCACTAATAAATAGAAAGCAGTCCGGTATGTTTATTTTGCACAAAATGTCAGCAAAATGAAACTGTTGCAGAGGTAATAATACAACCAGGTTCTAAGAAAATACAACCTGTCAAAAATGTACCTAAAACTTAAAAGCATGTCACAAAAGTATTCTTACTGGGAGTGCCGCCTACAGTGTGCTTCCAGGGAACCTTACGTTTTGATATCGGTCAGGTTAAAGAAAATGTGGTAACACTAATGGTGCAGGGTAGTTTGTGGGGCAGTGCATATGATAAATGGTCAAGGGAGGAAGGCCGATGTAACATCACATCATCATATCTTGGTGCAGAAAGCAATATTAGTAATGCCATGTTGCTATATGTTGCTTGCAAACGTAATTTAGCGATTTCCCCTGAATCCCTTTATAACCATCCGCCAAAGTCTATTGGTCAGCGCTCGCCGTTCTCTCGCCGCTGTTCGGAACAATCCTGTCTTGGATGGAACAGCATTCATCACATTACTCCAAAGCAATACTGAAATGTTTCTTCGGGTTATGCATCTGTGGTCAGTATGAGTCGGCTGCGACTTATTGGCTTTCAAATCATTGACCTCATGTCCGTTCTGTTTGCTCGGTCTATCAGCGACCATGATGCTGTGTAACATCAGCTTAGGGCCATTTGACGTGCACGTGCAGCTCTCTCATCTCTGTCCTAGAACAAATCCTTGCTTTGTTCACAAAACAACGACGTAATTACAGACTTCCGAATTATCGTCAAATTGCAAGAATGATGATGAATTTGTTTCCCGTTTGATAGCAAAGCGTCGGTTTTACTCGGCAATTCTGCAAGCCACTATCACATTACCGGCTAAACAGACAAAATATGTTCCCATACTTGGACGAAACTTAACTTTGTCCAATCGCAGAAGTAACACAGGTAACACTAACAATGGCAACTATAGAAGGCTACAACCTATGGATGTAATTATAGACCGTTTAGTATCCATACAAAGCTCATAGTCAACGATAAAAACCGAATTATTACGTCCAGCGAAAAGTGGTGGTGAGTGGTGTTACGGCACAACACGTTGCCGATAGTTGCGTTTGAAATCGAACCCAACACATTATGCTGGCGGACAGTTGGATTCTTCACTGCACGGTTTAGATACACGAGAACTGCGTGTTACAACGATTAGATACACAACGCACGGTCTTGAACTACTCCGTTGTGTGTGGATACGCAAACACAACTTTAACCAAGATTAACCAATGTTGGTCGCAACTAGATGACATAAACGGTACTCGATAAGACATATTATCATATCTAAAATAACTCCACAAAGCCAGGTTTAGCCAGCGACTTCGTTTTCATCCAAGGTGGATTGATCAGCCAGAAAACATAAACAACACATTTCCATGTAACCTGTTAATTTATTGCACTCAAGACCGCACACTCGACACGAAGAAGCACAGGACTAGACTGCTAACGCTGAGGCTAGGCTCACTCCTCAAAGTTGTTGAAAACTTTAGCCTCTTCCTCCACCCTCTCAATGCAAGAGAAAGATAGGTCTGAACCACATGACAAGATAATAGCTTATCGAGTGGTGTGGGCCTCCACCCGGTCGACTTCCGACTTCGGGAATCTGGCCTACAGCGGTATAAAAGGCGCCATAGAAGAGGAAATGTCCAGTCACAGATCTGAAATTCTCACCTGAGCTTGACGCGTATTCCTGTGAGGTCTACTAGAGAAACCAACAATACTAGGTCTTGAAATTATATTGCAAGTCCAGGTTGTGACCAAATTCCAAACAGTATGGCTGATCCGATATTCCCACAAGTTGTAAAATATGCGAACTAAATCTGGGTTTACCACCCGGCACCTCCACTTGAGCTGGGATATAAGGGGATACGAGTTTCCAATATCGCCGCATCTCATGCTGTGTTGAGTCATAGCTATTCAGAGTCTCAATTAACTCATCATATTTTCCACCTGATCAGCTAACTTTGTTCATACAAACCACCAAACCGACACCTACCAATCTTTGCAAGCCATTTACCGTGTACCTGGGGGCCATACACGAGCGGTAAAATGTCGCTTACTTGCAACAGCCGAGGCGATTGACATCCGCCAAGTCGCCTAGTAGCCAGTGGAATGATCGATAGACAAAGAGCGCACGGTAGCGTGTTGGAAATGGGTGGTAGCCTAGCAGCCCGACTCATGTTGGGACGGTCGATAAGTGGGTAGCGTTTAGTTAGCCTAATAGGCAAGTCAGTACAATTCTTATCATTTGCTTATCGGATCACCGTCTCATAAATGGCGCAGACCAACCTGAACTTGAGCAATGAATGTTCGATGGGCGCTTACTGCTATCGCAGTTGATGACGAAACACAATAATGGCCAACACAGTCGTAGCCTCAGAACTCGCATTCCAACTAACCAATAACTTTTATTAGGTTGCTTTCGTTGCAGAAAGAAATTCTACTACCTGGAACTCCTCTTTCCTTAAAAACATATGGTGCCCCAAAAGGCAGGGCCTTTGAATTGTCCTTTACCACTCTCCCCCATAACATGGCTTTTTGCGCCCTCTACTACAAGCTTAGCAATCTTGTAAGAATAGTTAGAGGAATTCTCTGGCTGAAATAATTCTAGGTCACTGCGACCGCTCAACTCCGCCGATATTTTGATTACATTATCCAGGACACCGCGCCCAACTAGCAAGTTGCTGCTATTATACAAACAAAACAAAGTATCAACAAACCTTTTTAACAAAATCAGACCTCATCGCCTGGATGAAGAACATTATACTCCGTTCTATCAATGTGCAGTCGTTGTTCAAAACGCGGGACGCATCACTTAAATAACATCTGTGCACTCTTTACCCACACTGTTTTAAAACTTGCAAAATTCTCATAATAATGATGCCGTTTAATGAAATTTGTGGGAGATAGCATAAATGCTGTAAATGCATCCATCTGTCTGCATAAAGTATTACTTGATTAGACATGACTTGAAAGTATCCCTCTCCAATGCATCGTGGTTTTGACCTCCTTGGGTCACCCGAGCGACTACCAAAACTTTTAAAAATCTCTTCAGCTATTAACAGAGACGAGAAGAAAACTGCACTTCACATAAAGAGTTGTTGCAGTTGAAACACCAATAACAATATGCCAGCCTCTTCCGCGTAGCAAAAGCAAAGCAGCATAACAGACAATATTTAGCAGCTCCTGCCAGGCTCGGAAGTTGAAAGAGCAAAACTCAGCTTGTGTCAACAAATGACGGCTTTTGAACTATTCGTGCGGAAGCCATTACTGCTAGATGCTAATTCATGACATACTAATGTGTATTTGAAGAAAAATATAAAATTCGCTCAAGAAAGCTAGTGTAAAGCCTGACCAAGATAGATCGCGATGAAGAAACATGATAGGTTTCGGAGAACGAATGTCTCATGCTGCACAACTAAAGAATGCAAAAGTGCAAA